GCTGCAGAAGAGACACACGTGCACAGACCTGGGTGAACTGACAAGCTATCTTGGCTTGCGGATCACCCGGGACAGAGCACGGCGCACCATCACCTTGACTCAGTCACACATGGTGCAGCAGGTCCTTCAGCGCTTCGGCTTCACGTACTCCTCGCCTCAGTCCACTCCTCTGCCTACGGGACACTCGCTCTCAGCTCTGCCTTCGGATGAGTCCGTAGAGCCGAGTGGTCCGTATCCAGAGCTTGTGGGCTGCCTCATGTACCTGATGACCTGCACTCGACCTGACCTTGCATACCCTCTCAGCATCTTAGCACGCTATGTCGCTCCCGGCCGTCACCGGAAGGAGCACATGGATGCAGCTAAGAGGGTGTTGCGCTACTTGTGCAGTACGTCGGGCATGGGGCTAGTGCTTGGAGGGCGAGACCGGCCTGTTCTCACTGGGCACTCAGACGCTTCTTGGGCAGACGACCAGGCTACTCAGCGGTCGTCTCAGGGGTACACCTTCAGTCTTGGCTCTGGCTCTGTCTCTTGGCGTTCTACTCGTTCCTCTTCTGTTCTCGGCTCCAGCTGTGAGGCTGAGATCTACGCCACGGCCATGGCTGCCCAGGAGCTTCGCTGGCTCACCTACCTGCTGAGTGACCTTGGAGAGCAGCCTCGTTCTCCTCCAGTGCTGTACGTCGACAACAAGGCAACCATAGCCTTGTGTCAGGAGCACAGACTGGAGCACAGGACGAAGCACATTGCTCTGCGTTACTTTCTAGCTCGAGAGCTACAGCAGCGTGGTCAGCTTCTTCTGCGTTACGTGGCCTCTGAGGCCAACACTGCTGATGTGTTCACCAAGGCGCTTCCGCCTGTTGACCATCAGCGTTTTTGCACTCTTCTAGGCCTTGTGCCGACTGTTCCTCACTTGCTTACTTCTTGACCTTGCCTGTACTGTGATCATTATATATATACCTGCATGTTTGCCCTTGCTAGGTTGTGATCATTGTACCTCTTGCTCTGTTATGAAACTGCATGTGAACTGGTCTTGTGACCGCTTACTTGTGCTCGGAATTTGTGTGGAATCCTTGAGATCCACCCTGAGCTTGTTTGCCTTGCTTTGCCTTGACTGGTCTTGTGACCCCTAGGTCTCCCCCACTTTGCCTATGGGGGTGTGTCAAACATTATATGTTTGTGTGGTTCTAGGCTGTAGTGGGTCACACCATAGGGGGTACACCAGTTTAGGGTTTCATATTTGTACTGTTGTTCTTGCTAGTCACACACATTCCTGTTTCTCATTCAGACAGTACGGGCCGCGCCCGACCCTGGCGCAGCCCGTACGGGCTGCGCCAGGCCCGCGCACCACCCGTACGGGCTGCGCCAGGCCCGCGCGCGACCCGTACGGGCGGCGCCAGGCCCGCGCGCGGCTCGGGCCGCCTGCGCGCGGCTCGGGCGACCCTACCTGCGGCCCTGGCCCCGGCCCCGCCGCCCTACCTGCGGCCCCGTCGTCCCGCCGCCCTACAGGCCCGACCCCATCGCCCTACCTACGGCACGTGCACCTCCCCCCCCCCCCCCCCTTTTCCCGTCGCCTGTCGAGGCGACCTGAGGGGGCCGCTTGGGGTGGCGAGTATGGGGGTGGCGGTTGTGCATTCCTCCCTTTGCTCCTCCTCCTCCTTCGTCTCCCACTGCTGCAACTGTCGCTGAGGGGGGTGGATGAGTGGGAGACTGGGGTTTAGGGTTTAAGGGGGGTGCGTGGGAGTGGAGCTAGCAGTGTAGCAGCGGGTGTGTGCCAGGGGGAGTAGGACAGCTTGGGGAAGCTGCATGGAGGTTGCCGTTGTATCGCTAGCAGCACATGTAGTCTGGGGACTTCGTCCGGTAGCCCAGTCGTAGCCAGCTGTGCCAGCCGCCCGTGGGTCCGTTGCTCGTCTGCCGCTACTTTAGCCGCGGGGCCAGTTACTCCTGTAGTCCGGGGGCTTCGTCCGGTAGCCGCTGTGCCAGACTGCCTCCTGTTGCCCGTGTGTCTGCAGCTTCATCCGTCGCCTCCTATCTCCTTTCCTCTCACTCTCTCTCCTCCGCCTCACTTGCCCGTTGTGACTACCTCTAGCTTTGCTTATAACTGTGAACTTTATACTACTACTTCTTGAACTTGTGCTCAGACTGTGTGGTGACATTGTGATCCACCCTGAGCTTGTTCTGTTTTGTTTGCTCTGCTGATTACACCCCACTTTGGCTATGGGGGTGTGTCAGAATGTTATATTTGTTCTCTAGCCTGCAGTGGGGTACTCTATAGCGAGTATAACCCCTTAGGGTTTCGTATATGTATCTCATTGCTTGCTAGTACAACCCCTCTTTTGCCTAACTTCTTTCTTGCCTAGCTAGGTTAGTCCTAGCTATGGCTCCTACCGATTACCTCTTGTCTTCACAGTAAAAGCGTGGCATCCCCCGACGAACATCACGGAACTACAAGGTTTTTTAGGATTCGTTAATTACGTTCGTCGGTTCGTCCACGACATGGCACGCTTAACAACCCCTCTCACTGATTTACTGCGTAAGGGGGTCGTTTTTACGTGGGGGGAGAAAGAGCATGCTGCCTTCTCTGCCCTGAAAGCTGTTCTCTGTTCACCACCCGTCCTTCGCATCGCTGACCCACATCGCCCCTTCGAGGTTGTTACCGACGCGAGCGACATCGCCATCGGAGCTGTACTGTTACAGGACTTCGGCAACGGCCTCCAACCCATCGCCTACGAATCACGCAAACTGCATCCACGTGAGAGAAATTACCCGATACACGACCGCGAAATGCTCGCCATCGTGCATGCATTCAAAGTGTGGCGCTGCTACTTGACCGGCGCAGACGTGACAGTACGGACAGACCATCGATCTCTACAGTACCTCCGTGCACAGCCCCACCTCAACCCACGACAGATTCGGTGGCTCGACTTTCTCGAGTCGAATTTCCATTATACGGTCACCTATAAAAAAGGAGCCTCGAATATCGCCGACGCACTGACCCGCCCCACTGCCCAGATCCATGCGGTACTACTCGCCCAGACCAGCCCGCTACTGACAGGACTATTTACCCACAGATATCAAACAGACCCATTCTTCACAGGAGGAAACTCAGAGCAATTCCTAGCAGCCAAGGGAGTCTATTACGTAAAAGCTGGAACCGACCGCATCTGGGTACCAGGGTACACGCTACTACGGGAACTACTGTTACAGGAGGCACACGACGGAGTTACCTCGGGACATTTCGGAGTAGAGAAAACACGGCAGCAGCTGCAGCGGTACTATTACTGGCCTGAGATGTTGACCGACGTGCAACGACACGTGGCATCGTGCCCCACTTGCCAGCTCATGAAGTCAACCAGGAAGCGGTCGGCGGGACAATTACAACCAATCCCACCTCCAGAGCGTGCTTGGCAGCAGGTGACGATGGACTTCGTCACGGGGTTACCGGCCGGGGCGAGTGGGAATGACGCGATCCTGGTCGTCGTCGATCGACTGACGAAAATGGCACACTTCGCAGCCTGCAGGAAATCAATCATAGCCGAGGAAACAGCCCGACTCTTCATCACCACCGTCGTTCGACTGCACGGGATACCAGCGTCGATCATCAGCGACAGGGACACGAAGTTTACCAGTAATTTCTGGCGGAACTTGTGGCAGCAGTTCGGCACGCGACTACAATTCAGTTCATCGTATCACCCCGAAATCGACGGACAGACAGAACGGACAAACCAGACCATGGAGCAGCTCATTCGAGCCATGTGCGACGATCCAAACACGTGGGAGCAGCAGCTGCCACTCATCGAGTTCGCATACAACAACGCGCCATCTGCCACGACCCAACAGTCACCAATTTACTTGAATTATGGACAGGACCCAACAGTACCCATGACCCCAAACCCCGACAATCCCGTTCTACGCGCACAACAGTTCGCCGAGATTTTGCAAGCAGCACGGACCAGGGCAGCAGAAGCAATAAAAAAATCAAATATCATCGCTAAACGCAACGCCGATCGCCACCGCAGACCCGTCACTTATCAGCCCGACGACCTCGTTTTACTCGACACTCAGAACCTCCGCCTGCCCATCACTCCCAAACTCCGCCCTCGATACTGTGGGCCATTTCGAATTAGCCACATGATCACACCTGTCACCGCGCACCTCCTCCTCCCTGCTGACTGGTACGTCAGCCCCTCGTTCCACGTCAGCCTACTCCGCCCTTACGTACCATCCACCAGCCAACTCCCACGACATCGACCATCCAGCATGGCACGACCGCCAACCGAACCGATCATCACCCCCGACAAAATCTTGAGCCACAGAGTTCGCGACCCTCGAGGAGCCCGAAAAGTTGAGTTCCTGATCCGCTGGAAAGACCGTACACCCACCGAGGACAACTGGGTTCCCCTGGACAGAATTGAAAACCACCCTGTCTTCACCGAATATCTGCGCAGCTGAAACTTCAAAGACGTCTACGCGCTTTCGTTAGGAGGACCTCCTTAGGAGGGGGGGTAGTGTAAGGAAAATCCCTTTTCCTTACTTCGCATCCCTGCTCAACGCGTACATCACTGTAGCACCTCAGTCAGCACCGTTACCACTCGCGACCATCGCATCGATAATCATCCCGCCATTTTCGCACATCGCATCCCGACCTCACGGCTCGGCTGGTAACCCGCGCTCCGGGCCTACGCTTCGACACTTTCCCAAACCTCAGTCCCAGGCTCGTCGCGCGACTACCACAGACCATTACCGTTACCACTATAGTTTCGCTATATATTCTTCGCTCATGCCTTCGCTCATTGTATTCTTGCTTCGATAGTGGAATTCTCGTTCGCTCACTCAATTGCACTCGTAACACCTCTCAACACCTGGAGACTCACGTTATGTACCAAAAGCCCTGAAAATCTTTACATTACGCCAGCTTATCTTGGTTATTAGAAATTTTAGTGGAGAAACCGTTCAGTCGTGCAACTGAACACTACATATTAACCCCTAAATCGCTCTAAAATAACCTAATAAAACCGCGTGATGATGTGGAACTCATCATCCTCCATCACCCGAACATCCTTGGCCCCTGGGAAGTGCTCCAACCCTATCTCATGTACAATGTCCACAAACTTCTGCCGGCTCTCCTTATTCAGCGGCACATATGGCAGGCGGAAGACTGGCCTCACGAGCCCCAGCTGACACAGTGCAGTGTTGAGACCAATGGGGTTCGGCTCCACGAATAGCCAGTTCACTAGAGGAGCAATTTTCGCATTCAGCTCTGGATTAGGGCCCTTGAGCAGCTGGGTCACGAGTCCTGTTACATGAAGTGATAGGGAAAGAAGAACATCTGAATGCCGTACACAACACATGCTTCATGAAGCTTCACCTACTGAGTCAGAATGCACAATACAAATAAGAGGACCCTCGCTACACAAGCAGAGTGAGTCACGAAGAAAATAAAAATCAGGAACTGAAATACAGGGAACGAAGTGGCTTGCCTGGAACGAGATTGCTGACGACGGAGATGACACCTTGACCGCCGTGGTTCCACTTCGCATCATGGAACTGGTCATCGTTGCCGCTCCACGCCACAATGCCCTTCTGTGCGTACCCGCCGATGCGGTCGTTGCCCGCACACTCCTTCACCCCGGCAAAGTTCTCGTGTGTGGCAATGGCCTCAATGACTGAGGGAGGAATGTCCTGCCCCGTTCTGCCCGGCACGTTGTACACAATGGCAGGGCCCATTGGCAGCACCACACTGCAGGGAAGGCGGGGAAGGGGAGGACGGGAAGGGGAGGTGGGGAAGGGGGGTGGGGGGGGGGGAGTGGGAGCACTCAGAACAATGGCAGGCACCTTGTAGACGATGGATGGGCCAATGGACAGCACCACACTGCAGGGGAGGTGAGGAAGTTGAGGGGAGGTGAGGGGGAAGGCACTAAGGAGTCAGGACAGTGCCTGGCACGTTGTACACAATGCACTCAGGTACCTTCCGCGAATTCTGAGGCGCCCCTTTTGTCAAGTGCTTCAGAACCCCCCGCGAATGCTGAAGAGCCTCTGGGTGCCTCAGAACTCCCCGTCTGGTCATTAAATAAACGCGAATTTTGAAGAGCGTCAACGATTGGCTGCGGCGGAAGGGCGGGAACTTACTCAAAGTGGCTCCGGAGTCCGTCCAGCGACGTCTTGCCGTAGTAGGGGTTGATCTGCAGCGCGGCGTGCATGCCCACGGCGAAGCCCTGCTCCGTGGCGTGCATGGCCTCGCGCGTGCTGTTGCTGCCCGTGTTGCCCACGATCTTGAGCTTGTTCCCGAAGCAGTACACCGAGTGCGCGATCAGCATCACGTGCTCGTCCCAGCTCATCAGGTGCCCCTCGCCCGTGGTCCCGCCCACGATCAACCCCTCTGCACCGTTCTCGATCTGGTGATGCACCAGCTCGTCGTACGCGTCCAGGTCGAAGCGGCCATCCGGCAGGTACGGCGTCTTGATGGCCGTTATGAGCGAGAGCGCCTTGATCTGCTCAATGTGCGGCCTGGAACGGAGGCAGAGGGAAAGAAAAAAGTCGTTGGAGAAAGGGGTTGGGAGGAGGGGAGGGGGGGATACAATAGTGTGAGTTGGGACGCTGGCCGTGAACTGCTCGAAGTGTGGGCTGCGGGGAATGGAGAGTAGAGACGACGGAGGGACTGAGGGGGTTGATGGGGGTGTAAGATGAGGAGTATGACTTTGGGATGGAACGGGGGCTTACTTTGATGGATGCGTGGGAGAGAAAGGGATGATGAGGACGGAGTAGGGGAAGGCGAGGATGGATAAATCGGCATGTAAGAGAAGGTATTTGGAGACGGTTACAATATTCACAGCTGTTTTGAGACAATTCCAACCTTCGAGAGAAGGCGGGAAAGGAAACCAACTCACGTGTTCCATCTGTTTGTTTATCTGTTATGTAACTCTAATGCTTGCGTATAATCACTCAATTTCTAGCCATTCACCCAGTTCGAATTCCTCGGGCTAATTCATAAGTTCCAGCCAGACCGAGTTGCCACCGAAAACATGAAAGCATCATGGACGTGCATTATAAGCCGCTCAAGAACAAACGGAAGGAGAGGCCTCGAAGATAAAAGGCACACGGCGAAATTTTTATCCTCACCCACTCTTCTGCTCCTCCAACCCGGCGACAAAGCTCGAAAAACACTTCAAATACTTCCCCATTTCAACCTGGAATCAAGGAGGCTAAGAAAACTGCGGGGTGCTACTAAAAAACCAGAACAACAGGACAAGGTCACGACTTACGTGATCACAGCTAGACGTGCAAGGGTTTAGACTTCTCCTTCTTTGTTGCTTCAATATTACGACTCGAAAGAGCCAGAATTACGATGTATAGGAACTGGGACGTACAGGTTTCGCTCCTCGTGGCTCTTCATCGGTACCGGCGGCGTCTCCATCATCGCCGCACGCAGCGACAGCCGACAGCCGTTGGATCTCCGGGTGCTTGCTGCGTTCAACGGCATCTTAACGGCGCTCGCAAATTCCGCACTCCTCGTGAAGGACGACTGCCCTAGCTTGATGTCGCGACACCGCACGGCTCCCACATCCAGGGACATGCTGGCGGCCATGAGCGGCGGTTGCGAGAGAAGCGGGAAGATTGAGCTACTAATGGATAACTAGCACACTCTTCAAAGAAAATGCCAGATGCGAGGACTCTGGCCTGGGTCTTGTACGAAGCAACGGCAACACTAGTTACAGGAAGGAGCGTGTTAGTCCCAAAAAGGGAGTGTTTCGACGCTGCAGGCACTGCGGTAGAGTGAGTATAAACTCCCAGCAAGAACGATGAGGTGATGAAATCTAGGAAGGGAGGGGTGGGATCAAATTTGAGGTGAAGGGTGAGCTTTACGGGATAAGCTCTGCCAGCACAAAGTTCCCTTTTTCGCGCAAGAATCTGCTACACAAACTCCTTTTCCGAGGCTGCCCGTAATACTTTGTGCTTTCCATTGGTTGACAGCGAGAGCAAAATGTGAAAGCAGACCAAGATTCGACCAGCGCGCCCAATCAGAGTACCACTGCTCTCTGACGTGGACGAGCACTCGAACAAGGAGCGTTTGATACCGAGGGCTTTGATTGGTCAGGGCTTTTCAGCCGGAATTGATGCGTAAATCCGCTCAGGAACTATTCGATTAGAAGCGTGAATTCTGATGTACGCAATGTCTGTAGAATGTGGGTTTCAACTTTCAGCAACATACCGTACTGAACCTCCTTAACTTCACTGCCTCCTTGGAAAACTGTATATTACTACTACCAGCTGGCTACTAGCTCTGCATACATGCTACTGGCTCAAATATGACTTCAGAAAGGGTTTGGCAGTGTTATTGAGCCAAGACTACATATGCTCCAGTGAAGTCGTCGATGCCTTCGATTCGACCTGCGCCGTCCTCAAAGGTGTTCGAGGATGATACGCCTACATACATTCGACCTAACTCACCCTGTTAGGGCGTACTGACTTCGTGGTGAGTGCGTTTCAGGAATTTTCATTTCCTAAGCACTGGAATGAAGGGTGAAATCTCCCTCTCAAGCTCCTCCATGCTCCTCTCAAGCTGCTCCTGGAAATCCCTATCATCTTCTGTCACGGCCCGCCCGTGCACCGCCACCGCTCGCTTGCACACCACCACAAACCGCACGATCGCATCTGTCAATGTCTCAACACCCGACGGTGACTGAAGCTTCGACGGGTCCTTGGGTCTCGGCTCCTGGCCATGAGGATTGGCCTCGTAGAAAGCCATACATACACCCAGCACCCCGCTGTTAACCTGCAACGCAACACTCCCTTGCAGCAACCGCTGCAGTGTCTGTATCCGGGGCAGCCGTAGTGTCCCGCCGGCTGTTGCAGCTGCTGCGATCAGTGCTGTCACTGCTGCTGGGTCCTGTGGCACACGTCCCCCTCCTCCCCCTCCTCCCATTCCCCCCCCTGCTCCTCCCGCAGCTCCCAGCTGGCTCGCCATTTCCATCTCTAGTGCATGCGACCTGTTTTCAATAATCTCCACGGCACATTGCAGGGGCGAGTACTCCCGGACCTCTGACCGAACCACCGGCTGCCGGCTGATCAGGCTCGGCAGCGTGCTCTGGGTGTACACCAGCGTCCGCCTCTTCCACTGGTCCTCCATCCGCCCGTGCTGCTTCCCGTTTGGCGTGAACGGCGTGTCAAAAAAGAAGCAATTAAACACCGGAGCTCCCGCCACGGCTGGGTCGATGGTTCGGCCGAGCCAGCGGTCGTCGCCAATCCCAACGACAGGCTCGACGGCGGTGATCTGCATGTAGACGAAGCCGGGCTTGAGGGCAGCGGGGTCCACCTGGCGAGAGTCCTGGATGACGTGGAGGGGCTCCTCGTCGGGCTCGCGTGCGTCGTAGAGCGATTTCAGCTTCTCCATGATGTCTCCCAGCCGTACCTCCCGAGGCTCCCGGTAGATGAACTCCCTGCGGTTGACAAGGAGATTGGCATGGAGATGGGCATGGAACAGAGGCTTCTTGTTGTATCCAGGGTTCAGCCCCTACAATATGTCTCCCAGCCGTACCTCCCGAGGCTCCTGGTAGATAAATTCCCAGCAGGTGGATGGGTAATGAAAGAGGATGGCATGGCAATGAGGATGTGGATGGGAAGCAGATGCAGTGCAGATTGTAAGACGATTCGACAATAACGAGAGGATAGGTTGGATGAGGACGCATGAACATTGTAGCAACCTAAGGCCGGCAAGGGGCTCCAAAAAGCACAGCTACAATCAATGTGACCAAATAGCTCACCTGCCATCAATGTGACCAAATAGCTCACCTGCCATCAATGTGGCCAAATAGCTCACCTGCCATCAATGTGACCAAATAGCTCACCTGCCATCAATGTGGCCAAATAGCTCACCTGCCATCAATGTGACCAAATAGCTCACCTGCCATCAATGTGACCAAATAGCTCACCTGCCATCAATGTGACCAAATAGCTCACCTGCCATCAATGTGACCAAATAGCTCACCTGCCATCAATGTGACCAAATAGCTCACCTGCCATCAATGTGGCCAAATAGCTCACCTGCCATCAATGTGGCCAGATAGCTCACCTGCCATCAATGTGGCCAGATAGCTCACCTGCCATCAATGTGACCAAATAGCTCACCTGCCATCAATGTGACCAAATAGCTCACCTGCCATCAATGTGACCAAATAGCTCACCTGCCATCAATGTGACCAAATAGCTCACCTGCCATCAATGTGACCAAATAGCTCACCTGCCATCAATGTGACCAAATAGCTCACCTGCCATCAATGTGACCAAATAGCTCACCTGCCATCAATGTGACCAAATAGCTCACCTGCCATCAATGTGACCAAATAGCTCACCTGCCATCAATGTGACCAAATAGCTCACCTGCCATCAATGTGACCAAATAGCTCACCTGCCATCAATGTGACCAAATAGCTCACCTGCCATCAATGTGACCAAATAGCTCACCTGCCATCAATGTGACCAAATAGCTCACCTGCCATCAATGTGACCAAATAGCTCACCTGCCATCAATGTGACCAAATAGCTCACCTGCCATCAATGTGACCAAATAGCTCACCTGCCATCAATGTGACCAAATAGCTCACCTGCCATCAATGTGGCCAAATAGCTCACCTGCCATCAATGTGACCAAATAGCTCACCTGCCATCAATGTGGCCAAATAGCTCACCTGCCATCAATGTGACCAAATAGCTCACCTGCCATCAATGTGACCAAATAGCTCACCTGCCATCAATGTGACCAAATAGCCCACCTGCCATCAATGTGACCAAATAGCTCACCTGCCATCAATGTGACCAAATAGCTCACCTGCCATCAATGTGACCAAATAGCTCACCTGCCATCAATGTGACCAAATAGCTCACCTGCCATCAATGTGACCAAATAGCTCACCTGCCATCAATGTGACCAAATAGCTCACCTGCCATCAATGTGACCAAATAGCTCACCTGCCATCAATGTGACCAAATAGCTCACCTGCCATCAATGTGACCAAATAGCTCACCTGCCATCAATGTGACCAAATAGCTCACCTGCCATCAATGTGACCAAATAGCTCACCTGCCATCAATGTGACCAAATAGCTCACCTGCCATCAATGTGACCAAATAGCTCACCTGCCATCAATGTGACCAAATAGCTCACCTGCCATCAATGTGGCCAAATAGCTCACCTGCCATCAATGTGACCAAATAGCTCACCTGCCATCAATGTGACCAAATAGCTCACCTGCCATCAATGTGACCAAATAGCTCACCTGCCATCAATGTGACCAAATAGCTCACCTGCCATCAATGTGACCAAATAGCTCACCTGCCATCAATGTGACCAAATAGCTCACCTGCCATCAATGTGACCAAATAGCTCACCTGCCATCAATGTGACCAAATAGCTCACCTGCCATCAATGTGACCAAATAGCTCACCTGCCATCAATATGACCAAATAGCTCACCTGCCATCAATGTGACCAAATAGCTCACCTGCCATCAATGTGACCAAATAGCTCACCTGCCATCAATGTGACCAAATAGCTCACCTGCCATCAATGTGACCAAATAGCTCACCTGCCATCAATGTGACCAAATAGCTCACCTGCCATCAATGTGACCAAATAGCTCACCTGCCATCAATGTGACCAAATAGCTCACCTGCCATCAATGTATCCGAATCGCTCCCCATAAAAGCCGACTCGATAGTATGTTGCGTCCTTGAAGGGGATTGGGTTCTGCTCCTGAGCCAGCACGTTGTCATAGATGCCTGAGAGTGACGTGTGGCACTTGGACAGCTGCAGAGGGGAACAAGAGAGGGACGCAGAAAGTCGGAATGTGAGTGAAGGGAGAGAGCAAGAGGGGCTCAATACTCATGATGTATCGCTTTGTCGTAAATGCCTGTCAGCAATATGGAGGTGAGGGGAGAAGATTTGTGAAGGGGGGGGTGGAGGTGGGGATGGGCGGGGATGAGGAAGAAAGCCTTTTTAGCATATTCTCACACACGTGACTCCATGGTCACATGTGGTGCATTGTGGATATACAACTCCCCGGAACAGGCAACAACCAGATGACCATGCTGCCAGGGGAGCCACACTTACAATTCTTTGAGTCAACTCGAAAAGGGAGCCATCCTTGACTGGTAGTGGAAGACGGGGATGGCTCTTACCTGCTGAGGGAGAGCATCTCAGCGCAGAAACGGAAGAGCTCTCAGCACATGCCTGGCACACCCACCTACTGCATGCGTGCTAAGGATGCCCCAAACGCACACACACCCAGCCCCAGAGGGACACGTACCTGGTAGAAGTCGCGGCGGAAGCGGAAGACGGGGATGGTGAGGGAGAGCATTTCAGCGCAGAAGTGGAAGAGCTCGGCCTTGGCAAAGAAGCTGGACGCCATCTGCAGGTACTTCACCGCGCTGTCCGTGTTCAGACACGTCGCCCCAAAGTCACTCTCCCCCCCTCCCCCTGCTGCCGCGCCCGCGCTGCCCCCGCCCGCACCGCTCTTGGAGGCGCTGTTGGGGAGGCGGGGGCGGGCGGAGGGGCGCGAGGGGCGCGCACGCCACTGGTGGCGGGCCAGAGGGCAGACCCGCCAGAGGAGCTCCAGGTGTTCGGCCTCCCACGCGCACTCCCTCGTGGTGGACGCGTGCAGACCCTGCGGTGTGGTGAGACAGGGCATGAGGTGGGAGACAAGACAACGGGATTTGTTTTAAGCATGTGCGATGGGATTCGCACAGGCACGATCCAATTCCCCACAACCAACCTACCACCCAGCCCTCGGCCCTTCAGCCCTAATCCCAATCCAGTTCATCAGCTGTGTGTCTCACCCGAATGACCACCCCCGCCACGGACACAGCGCACTGAGCAGCCTCGGCCCACTGGCTCATCTCCTGGTGCGCCTCACAGAGGTGCAGCATCCACATGATGTAGAGGTCCGGCACGTGCCCGTACGCCTGCGCCAGGATGTAGTAGCTCTCCACTATCGCGTACCGGTCGTTGGACGTCTTCAGCCCCTCCATCTGCACAGGGAGAGAGAATGGTATGAGGGGGGGGAACATAGAAAGGGGCATTGAGGGGCTGCGCTCCCCATGTACCTGCCTGCGCCAGGATGTAGTAGCTCTCCACTATTGCATACCGGTCATTGGACGTCTTCAGCCCCTCCATCTGCATGCGAACAGAGGGGAGACATGGAGGAGGATTGGAAGGCTAAGGGCTTGAGGCTGTACTATACCACGTCTCAGACGCGCCACGCGCCCATATGCCTGCGCCAGGATGTAGTAGCTCTCCACTATCGCGTACCGGTCGTTGGACGTCTTTAGCCCCTCCATCTGCGAGGGGAAACCTAGACACAGGGAGAGGAAGGAGAGTTACAGGAAGAGGAATGAGGGGGGAAAGGCGAGTCAAAGTAATTGCTTTCGCGTGGGAGAGAGGATTCGTTCAACATGTCTGGAAGAGGAGCACGCGTTGCCGTGCTGCTGGCACTCTGGATGGATGGACCAAGTAGGCCAAGCCAGAGACTGGGATACATGCCAGTGCTGGCCTCGGCTGCTTGCACTGCTCTGCCGAATTCACTAGAATGAGCAGCAAACCCCGCAACTCCTGAACCTGCGTGACTGAATATACCACTGAGTCATCAGCTACTCGTGTTGTTAAGGCGTCATCAGCTTTAAGCCATCATCAGCTGCTCGTGTTGTTAAGGCAACCCACTACCCTCACCAGCTGCTCGTGCTGTGAAGCAGCGTCCACGACGGTGAGCAGCATGTCCTGCAGCTCATCCACATTCTTCCTCGACCACCGGTCCCGAATCCTCCTCTCCCTCCTCCTCCCCCTCCTTCCCCTCCTCCGCCGCCTCCTCCTCCCATTCTCCCCATCATACTCATCCAAATCATCAAACTCCTCCTCCTCCTCCTCCTCATCCTCCTCATCATAATCATCCTCATCCTCCTCTTCATCCTCCTCCTCATCCTCCTCTTCATCATCCTCATCTGCCTCATCCGCCTCCTCATCCCCTACCATAATCTCCAGACACATGTCCGGAAGCCCGCTCTCTGCCAGCAACCCGAACCACGTCTCCTCCGAGCCTAGCTCCTCCAATGAGAAGCGCAGCCGTTCCACCTCGAGAGACTCGGTGATCTCCCCGGGCCTGGCGCCGCGCTGCAGCAGGCGCAGCTGCATCATGACTTCGGAGAGGGCGACTGTGAGGATGACCCGCAGGTGGTGCACATTGCCCATGTGTAGCAGGGCCGTCTGGTGGGTAAGGGAGGGGAAGGCGGGATGGGGGGAGGAGGGTGGAAGGGGGAACGGGAACGGGGGATAGCAACGGTGGGTGGCTCGAAACAGTGCAGCTCCGATAGTGGGCTGGGCAGATGGTGGAGAGGAAAACTTCAAAACATTTCCTTGAGCTGCGCGTCGTTTGCTCTGCTTCTTGCGAGCTCGTTCTGCCTTGAAACTTTGAGCTCTGCTGATTTTCGATCAACTCACCCGCAGCAGCAGCAGCAGGCAGAGCAGTGCTCGCTTGCGCACAAACTCGGGCTTCACAATGAGGCGCTTGAGCAGGTTGCCAAACATGTCCTTGAGGCGCGCGTCATTCGCCTTGCTGCTCGCCAGCATTGCACGGCCGTGCAGCCGCAGCATCTCTGCAAAGGCCGGCACAAACACCTCCCAGAACGACACCGGCTGGCCAGGAGGAGACGGAGGGGATGGAAGAGCACGGTAGAGAGAGTCAACAAGTTGTAGGGGAGTGCGCAAAAAAAAACAAGGGATTTCTGTGTGCACAGTGCAGCCAAAACATATCTACCAAAGTTGGCGCAAGCATCTCCCAGAACAACACTGGCTGACCAGCAACAGAACAAGGAGGCAACATAGCGTGAGGGGCAAGAGAAGGGTGTGGAAGGGAAGAGAGGCAAGGCACAAAACAAACACAGAAGGCACTACCTGGTGCAAGCTTCTGGCAGGTGTTTACCTGGGGCAAGCTCCGAGAAGGTGTTACCTGGGGCAGGTTGAGAGCAGGTGTTACCTGGGGCAGGTTGAGAGCAGGTGTTACCTGGGGCATGCTGAGGAGGGCGGAGATGGGGCCAGTGAGGCAGTCCATGGTGTCATAGTCCGTGACCACCGCGCCCTCTGCTGCCAGGTCGCTGAACTGCTGGGGCAGGCTGAGGGCAGGCGTTACCTGAGGCAGGCTTACCTGGGGCATGCTGAGAAGCGCGGAGATGGGGCCAGTGAGGCAGTCCATGGTGTCATGGTCCGTGACCACCGCGCCCTCTGCTGCCAGGTCGCTGAACTGCTCCAGCACCTCCAGTACTTGCAGTGACACCCACCCTGCCATTGTGGCCTCCCACATGGCCTGGGGTGCGTGGGATGGAGAAGTGCACAAGAAAGGGTCGAGATGAGCAAGGAGGGCGAGGCAGCACTCCTCACCTAACTGCTCCAGCACCTCCAGTACCTGCAGTACCTGCAGTACCTGCAGAGCAGGGATGCCCACCCTGCCATCTCCGCTTCCTACATGGCCTGAGCTGAGAGGGGTGAGGGCGATCGGAAAGGTAAGGGATGGAGGGAAGTGAAAACTGCTTAATTACTATACCCCCAAAACAACTACTGTAAGCTCAGTATGGGATTTGGCAACATGGGCATGGGAAGCAGAGGGCTGGGACCTGGCAACTTTTCAGAAACTTCTATGGTACCTCCAAGCTGGAGTCTGCTGAAAACCGGAGGGCCAAGAAGGTCTAAATTGGTTCAACCTTCCTAACTTCGGTTGAGTTTGGCCCTGACACCCAAAGTCTTTGCCAATTGCATTGCTCGCCCCAACCAGCCTTCATATGAAAAGTGGGAGAAATTCCTAAGCCCGATAAACAACCATAAGGCGGATTGAAATCGGCTCACTCACCAGCTTCTCGGAAGCAACGGGCGGCAAGCCTTGTCTGAGAATGGTCATGGCTTCCAGCGGCGCCACCCAGGCGCGCCTCAGCTCCTCCCGCAGCGGCACGGGCGGGCGGGCAGTAGGCGGTGGTGTTGCGACTGTGGAGGATACACCGCTGTACTTGCGCACCAGCTGCTCCCGCTCGCCACTCCCCTGAAGGAAAAGTGGGGAATTAGGGTGGGAAAGCAGAAGAGCAGAAGGATGGAGGCTTGGACAGCAGAGAGCTGTGGTGGTGCAGAGGTGGGGGATACGCCGCTGTACTTGCGCACCAGCTGCTCCCGCTCGCCACTCCCCTGAGGAAAAGTGGGGGATTAGGGTGGGAAATGTGCAGAAGAGCAGAGGGATGGTGGGGTTGGGACAGCAATAGGCTGCGGTGATGCGGCGGTGGAGGATACACCGCTGTACTTGCGCACCAGCTGCTCCCGCTCGCCACTCCCCTGAAGGATGAAGGGAGGGAAAGGGGCAAAAGAGCACAGGGACGGGGAAGGGAGGGGTGGTTTGCTGCAACGGTGCGGCAGTGGAGAATAGCCCGCCGTAGTTGCGCACCAGCTGCTCCCGCTCGCCACTCTCCTGGAGGAAGAGGGGCGTGGGGGTGGGGTGGGGGGTGTGGAGGAGCAGAACAGCAGAGGGATGGGAGGCCGGGCAGTAGGCTGCAAGGGTGCGACGGTGGAGAATAGCCCGCTGTACTTGCGCACCAGCTGCTCCCGCTCGCCACTCCCCTGAAGAAAGACGGGTGGGGTTGGGGGGGGAAGAGGTGGGAAGGAAAAGGACGGAGGAGCAGAGGGATGGGGGGGGGTGGGTGGGACTGGCAGGCTGTGGTGGTGCAGCAGTGGAGATTTTCTAGGCGCCTCAAAAAATGGGACTGGCAGGCTGTGGTGGTGCAGCAGTGGAGGATAGCCCACTGTACTTGCGCACCAGCTGCTTCCGCTTGCCACTCTCCTTCAGGAAGAGGGAAGGCAGGGGCGGGACAGTAGAGTGACAGAGAGAATTGGAGGGGCCAGGGACATGTGGGGAATTGGGAATGGCAGGAGAGCTTTGTTGGGGCTCGTCCTGCAGCAATATCGGTGGGCGGTGCTGGGAGGTCAATCAAATCAAAGTGGAAGGTGGGTTGGGGAGAAAGCAAACGACACCATGAAATCCGACAGTGCCATGCCTTCGAGAGGGTCGTTTGCAGGCCCCAACCCAAGGAAACCTGTGATGTGAGTACGCTTCGCCATGACCCAATCAGCTCACGACACTCTCCTCCTGATAAAAGGCCATTTTTTAGACGTCTCAAAAATAACCTTGTGTCAAGGAGACCTGTGATGTGAGTATGGTCTGAAAAATAACCTTGTGTCAAGGAGACTTGTGATGTGAGTTTGCTCCACCATGACCCTAACAGCTCATGACATCTCCTCCTCCCCCACCTTGGGACTCGTCGAGCGCCATGTTGTAAAGCGAGTCGCTGGCTCCCAAGGAGACTTTCGAGTCAAACAATGGCACTCTCGTCCCAAGCCACCCTCCCACCCACGGCACAGCACTCTTCTTCTCCCCACCTTGGGATCTATCTGACAGCGCCATGTTGTCAAATGAATCATTGGCGGACAGGGAGACTTCTAGGTCGACCCACAGCACCCTCCTCCCAAACCCACCCACAGCACAGCACCCACTCTCCCCACCTTGGAATCTGCGAGCGCCATGCTGTCAAGTGAGTCATTGGCGGACAAAGAGACCCGGTCGGAGTAGAGGGGGAAGGGCGGCAGCTCCCCCTCACTGCCGCCCTTGCGCCCCTTGCCGTCCAGGCTGTGATGGTTGCGCACCACTGCCCCCAGCTCGCCCGTACTCACTCCCGTCCGACCCGTATACTGTTGGGGTTGGGGGTGGGGAAGAAGGTGTGAGAGAAACCAGTGAGCCCCTTGCACCTCTTGCCGTCCAGGCTGTGATGGTTGCGCACCACCGTGCCCGGCTCACCCGTACTCACTCCCGTGCGCCCCGTGTACTGTTAGGGTTGCAGGGTGGGGGTGGGGAAAGTGTGAGGGAAGATGTAGAGGAAACAGATGAGCTTCGCTTGCGCTGCACCCCTTGCCGTCCAGGCTGTGATGGTTGCGCACCACTGCCCCCAGCTCGCCTGCGCTCACCCCCGTGCGGCCCGTGTACTGTTGGTGGGGAGGGGAAGGGGTGGACGGTGGGTGAGGAGAAGAGAGAAGGGGGATGGTGGGGTGTAGATGAACGGAGATTGAGAAGAAGAGAGCTGAAAGAAAGCAAAAACACACAAAGAACGCAAAGCACTGTCCAGCTGAGTGGAAGAACGACTCATGCAGCAGCTAAAGAAGGGGGCGGGGCGGCACACGGTGTGGCTGGGCGGGGCGGGGCGGTACACGGTGTGGCGGGGCGGCAGCCCTCACCTGGAAGAGGAAGAGTGACTCCTGCAGCAGCGAGAAGAAGAGCTGTGTGCGCGGGGCACTGTGCTTCCATGCCTTGAGCAGCGTCTCGCTGTCCACATGCCGCAGCACCGCCAGCACCGCCACCACCACCTGCCGCTTCTGCAGCACCCCCAGGCGCGTGAACACACGCGGGTCGTCTAATAACTGGTGGGGAAATTGGGGCGGAGGGAGGACGGGCATGAGAGTGGGGGCAGGGGCAGGGAAATGAGGATAAGATAGACCATGGGATTTAGCCTTAATGGGTTACCATGGGCATGAACCTGACTGACCATAGACAGGAATGGAGACCATTAACCAGACTGTTCAGGAATTGAGTAACCACTGGACAAGATATGGCCCACCTGGTTGGCTACGCGGAAGTAGACTGCAACCTGCAGGGTTTGAAATGCGCCCAGACCGTGCCAAGAAGGCTAGTTAGAAGCAGCTCCCCTGGGTGACTAGACTAGAGTGCACCTAGGTGACTAGAGCACACCTGGGTGACTAGTGCGCTGCGCACCTAATTGACTAGAGCGCACCTGAGTGACTAGAGCGCGCCCAGGTGATTAGTGCGCACATGGGTGACTAGTGTGCACATGGGTGACTAGAGCGCACCTGGGTGACTAGAGCGCACCTGGGTGACTAGAGCGCACCTGGGTGACTAGAGCGCACCTGGGTGACTAGAGCGCACCTGGGTGACTAGAGCGCACCTGGGTGACTAGAGCGCACCTGGGTGACTAGAGCGCACCTGGGTGACTAGAGCGCACCTGGGTGACTAGTGCCCCACCTGGGTGACGATGGGGAAGTAGAGCTGCGAGATGTAGAGCTTGAGGTCCGCCTGCTGGTAGCGCGCGTCGTACTCATGCTTGGCCAGCAGGAAGGTGAGCATGCGCGATGCCTGTGAGGACAGGGAGAGAAGGGGAGGGGGGGGTGAGGCTGAGAGATTGTATGAAGAGGAAAATGCGTGAGAACCGGTGAGGTCTGCCTGCTGGTAGCGCGCATCGTACTCGTGCTTGGCCAGCAGGAAGGTGAGCATGCGTGATGCCTGTGAGGGTGGGGAGAGAAGGCCGTGAGGACGGGACGGGAGACTGTATGAGAATTACGCGGGGAAGAGGGAAATGCATGCGAATCAGTGAGTGCGCATATGGTGGAAAGCATCGGATAACGCCACGCCACACGCACGGCATGGCACGCAAAACAGCCCGGCATGGCACGGGGAAGAAAAGGCAAGGCAGCATGGCATCAAATATCAGGCCGCAAGGCATGGCATGAAATAGCAGACAGGCATGGCATGGCATGGCATGCATGGGCCATGGCGCACCGTGGCTCGCTGGTTGGGGTCATCATGGTTCAGGCCTGTGAATAGGTCCTTCACCAGCACTGTCGACAGATAGTTCCTGACTCAGCAGAAACAGCAGGATGCGGAGGGGAGGGGAGAGAAGGAAAAAGGGGAGAAAATGAGTTTGGAATGTATTAAACTCCACGCCGTGAACAAGCCCTTTATCAGCACAGTTCCTGCCCCACGAGCAGGGAGGAGAATGCGAAGGAAAAGAGGAGACTCGCCACAGCTGGTACGAACGAGGGACTCATTCCAGGACTTACTTTTCGCTGGGCCCTCGGCCGGGCGTCTCGACAAAGAGGTCATGGTCGCAGAGGATGCGGAGGAAGTGCAGCTTGAGGGAGTGCTGTTCTGCAGAGCACATCATCTGATCTCAGGTGCCTCACAAGCCATTCCAAGACGGACTTACTTTTCAGTGGGACCACGGCCGGGCGTCTCGACAAAGAGGTCGTGGTCGCAGAGGATGCGGAGGAAGTGCAGCTTGAGTGAGGGAGTGCTGTTCTGCAGAGCACATCATCTGATCTCAGGTGCCTCACAAGCCATTCCAAGACGGACTTACTTTTCAGTGGGACCACGGCCGGGCGTCTCGACAAAGAGGTCGTGGTCGCAGAGGATGCGGAGGAAGTGCAGCTTGAGGGAGTGCTGGTTCGCAGGACACATGCCTGCTAGCTGTGACAGGAACAACCCCACCTGGAGGTGTGGGGAGAGGACGTCGGGTGGGAAAAGAGCTCGTTTTGGTTAAGGAAGAAAAGATGGTCAGAAACGATTAATAGGTGCACAAGTTCGGTGGAACAGCCGATCGACAACCGTGATGAGGTCGTAGCAGAAGAAGGTGGGGGGGAGCTGGTGAGGCGGCTATTGAGTCGACTTACAAGTGAGTCGACTGACAACAAGTCATTCTAAGCAGACTCAACTCTATACTCACCAGCTCGAACACTTGAGGCGGGTCGACGACAGTGATGAGGTCGTAGCAGAAGAAGGCGAGGGAGTTGGTGAGGCGGCGCGCGAGGGGGTAGTCGGAGTCGGCCTTGTCCTGCACCTCGACGAGCAGGCACTCAAAGAGCTGCCGGATGCACAGAAACACCTCGTCCTCCAACCTCAGCCGCGCTATCTCATCGCCTGGTGAACACAGAGGAGGGGGGTGATGGATAGGTTGGAGAGGGGGAGAACGGGGATGGGGAAGAGAGCTGGAGAAGGCGCGGAGGAGAGCTGGAGAAGGCGCGGAGGAGGGCTGGAGAAGGGGGACATAATGGAATCTAGCACCAAGCATTTGAGGTGGAAATCCCAAGAAAAAAAACATCTCACTCTACAGCTTACAAGTAGGGTAGGAATGTCACGATCAAGCTAGATCACACCTTGCACCATACAAGTGACACTCAGTGGCTCACCTTGAGGCACCTGAGCCAACTCGAGGTCCATGGACTTGACGACCAACTCCAGCACAAACCATGCCAGGAACAGTGCTGATGTCCATCACAGTGACCTCACCGTGTATGCACCACCTGGGCAACGCTCACCTTGCAGCACCCCACATAGCGCTCACCTTGAGGAACCTGAGCCAGCTCGAGGTCCATGGACTTGACGACCAGCTCCAGCACAAACCATGCCATGGTCAGTGCCTCGCTGTACACCGGACCCACTCGGAAGCCCCGGGACTGTAGGCTCGGGAAGCGGAGGGAAGCCAGGATGGATGGAGCAGTTGATGTTAGAGAGAGAAGAGAAGCATGAGCGGGGAGGGAATAAATGTATGAGCGGTCACAATTCATGCTGGTGAGCGCCCCAACCGTAACCCGTGAGCACCCCAATTCTAATCCGAGCCGGAGGCGGGCACCTTGCTGCGGGCGAGGGAGCGCCAGACGTTGCTGAGGCCGGGGTAGACGGGCGGCTGCTGGCGGCCCAGGTCGTCAAAGACAAAGTCCACAAAGTGCACCAGGAAACGGTTGCGCGGCACGTTGGGGGACAGCTCCGCCTGCACCCTGGTGTTGGCCGGGGAGAGGGAATGGGATGTGGGGGAAGTGTGCATGAGGGGGATTTGTGACCGCTCTGCATGTTCGCAGAGTGTGACACATCTTCGGGCACAGCGGGATACAGCAAGAACAGCAGAACAGGGCGATCCTAACCAGCATCCTCACCTGGACACAATGTTCACGGTGGCTCGAAACGCCGCCACCTGCAGCGTCTCAACGCCATTCCCAATCATGCACAGCAGCATGTTGAGCAGCGGGTACAGGAACTGCAGCAGCACCACCGTATCCACGCCCTTGAGCCCATTGATCGACTCCAGCAAATCCTCCCGGGGCAGGGGAGCCTCGAGCACGTGGCGGTCATACTGGCGGAAGAAGTCGCGCAGGCGGTCGGAGAGGGGGAGCAGCGAGGAGAAGAGGCGCGTGCGCAGGCGGAACACGGGCTTGCCCTCCTCCCAGTAGGTCAGCTTGGCTTTGGTGCTCTCGTGCAGGTACTTGGGTAGAAGTTCCTTGGACATGGGCAGGTTCATCTCGCCCTTGAATGACCTGAGGGGGGAGGGGAGGGGGAAAAGAGGCACGTGTTTCCCCTTGGTGCTCTCGTGCAGGTACTTTGGTAGCAGCTCCTTGGGTATGGGCAGATTCATTTCACCCTTGAACGGCCTGGTGGTGAAGGAGGGTGTGGGGGAGAGTGGAGTGGAGAAAGGACCAGGAGTGGAATGCAGCATGTTTGGACTGGGATTGAGTATGGTGCAGTGGTGAGTGGAGAAAGCGTAAGACAGGGACGAGCATGAACAGAATGCACTTGATGTCTCTAAAACTAGAGAGGTGACTATGCAGTAACACAGTAACGCCACACAGATGACTAGTGGTCGGTTCATGACTCACTGGGTGACAGCTGATAGAGGCATGACAGAGTAGCCAACCACTACCTGCCACATCAGAAAAACACACACATCACATCAATACACATCAGCATTGTCTACAAGCAAAAAAGCTCCATCAGACAACAGGTTCGGCCCAAAAGCAGGGGCAAACAGATTAAAGTCTCGGGAACCAGAATAAACTCACCGGTTTGGGGCGGTCGGCCTTGACAGCAAGGTCGATGTGGAAGAAGGAGAAGAGGAGGTGGTGGGAGGGGCGCAGCACAGCAGGTAGCTGGATCTTGAACTCGTCGTGGAAGAGCGATGGGCGCATGCCCATGGCCACCTGTGACGACGCCACTCGCTGCATTGCATGCTCCCGCTCCCATGGGAAGATGGCCTGCGGTGGTGGAAGGGAGGGAGTGGTGTTTGGGAGGGAAACGGGTGGGGAAAAGATGAGAGGAGGGAAAAGAGGGTGCATGCTCATGGCCACCTGTGACGACGCCACTCGCTGCATCGCATGCTCCCTCTCCTTGGGGAAGGTGGGCTGCCACGGTGGAAAGGAGGAGTGCGCAAGAAGGGTGTTTAGACGTTGAGAAGTCTCAATACTTGAGGCCACTCGGCGCATGGCATGCAATTCAGGTCGCCACTCCCTCAAATAGGTTCCTTTGAAACTGACCTCCCTTTCTGAAGCGACAAGCACTGCAGCTTGAAGCTTCAGCCTTGAAAAGAACATACCTCGAGCTGCGGGCGTGAGGACTGGAGGTCGGTGTCGTCGTCACGGAGCTCAAGGCGCATGAAGAGGTTGAGCTTCTTGGGCAGAGTCACACTGTGCGGGTACACAAACGCCAGATGCTCCAGATGTGTGAACGGCTCTGCTCGTGTCATGTCCGTGAAGTCCAACGCGTGGAACTGACGGGGGGGGGCATGGGGCAGAGGGTTGGGGAGAGAAGGGGAGAGTGTGGAGGGATTGCGTAGCGAGTTGCGAGTGGATGATGATGAGTGGGCAGAAAGGAGAATTTGAAACAAAAAGCACTGCAGCACATTTTGCACGTGCCAGCTCACTCGCCCCATTGAGCACATCCAAGCTCACTCACCCCGTTGAGCAGGCGGGAGATGGAGAAGGTGCGACTGAGCCCGCCCACTTCATCCGCGTCTGACCCCATTGACTCCATTGACCGCGTGTGACCCATGGCCTGGCTGGACCCTGCAGGCCCCGCCTGGGCGGAGTGGGAGAGAGCAGTGCTGCCCGGCAGCCGCTCCACCTCCACCTGCATGGTCATGCGCACTGGCTTGTGCACCTTGCGCTTCGGGTCCTGAAGGGGGTTTTGTGGGGAGAGGAGTAAGGGAAGCCAGGGGACCAGGGGTAATGCAGGAGAAATGGTGGGGAGGAGTTGAGGGTGTGATTGAAGTACTGAACAGGTGGCAAGTGGAGAAGTCGAAGCAAGGGGACATGGTAGCAGTAGGTGGACTAGGCAGCCAATGCCATATAAGCCCCCGTAATAGCATGCATCTCAAGCCAAGGTGACTTTTGAGTTGACTCAAAAGTCACCTCAATGCCATATGAGCCCCCGTAACAGCACGCATCTCAAGCCAAGCCCCCTTGTGATACGCACAAAGAGCTGGTCCTCAGTATAGCACTCCTTCACGCGCTGCAGACACGGAATATCCACCAGCAGAGGCCCTCCCAGCTCATACCGTGGTGCAGCCCCCCCTTCCCCCAGCGCCCCACTGCTAGACCCTGGCGTCCCAGGGCCCCCTGCGCCCTCCCCTGCCCCTCCCCCTGCTGCTCCGCCCAGCACCCCGGAAGTGCCCCCCCCTGTGCTGCTGCTCCCGAAGCCGGTGGTGCCGCCTGTGCCGGCAGAGTCGAAGAGCGGAATGGTGGCGAACGCAAAGGCCTCGCGGAACGGCATGCTCTGTGAGGGTTGTGCGGGGGGGAGAGGGGGAGAAGGTAGGTATGGGGGAGAAGGCATGGGGGTGAAATGGAGTGAAAGCGTGATCACAGGGTTGAGTAATGGACGCGGAAGTCTTGGGTGTTGGCATGGCGTGTGCAGAAAGAGGTTGAGGGGAATAAATTCTTCGACTCAAGCAGACAGAAAATAGATGGACTGACCTGTGCCCATTCTGAGAGCCGGGATGCCTCTCTCTCTGTCAAAACGGGCTGCATGCACACATGGAAAGAAGATCCAGTGAGCAAGGAGCAAAGCAGGTGCATGTTAATCGGCAAGGCATAGTGATGTGATGAGTACAACAGCACCTGTGACAGCAGTACCAAAGAAAGAAGGAAGTGGCGGATGTGCAAAAAGAGGTGCAGAAGGACCAGCGACAGCAGTGAGAGAACTCACTGGGTCCTGGTTCATATTTTGATATTGGTAATCAGCCGATTCTGTCACAGTCACTGGGTGCTTGACTTCAAAAAATATCAATAGCTGATGATCAATAGCCACTCACAGGGTCCTTGCGCGTGTACACAGAGCCCTTGACGCCGTTGATGCTTTCCTCTGTGACAGCTCGCTCCACCTGCACCAGCAGGCACAGCGCAGCCGCCTCCCTCTCCACCGTGAATATCGCCCTCAGCTCGGGGGGCGTGCTCTCCTGTTCCACACACACACACGCACAGTGGGGAAAAGGGAGATCGGAAGAGGTGTTATGGGACATGTGAGCACGGTCATTGCTCGCACATGAGGCAGGTGCGCATACACTGAAACCTCAATGTAGAAGGAAGAAGCAGGAGAGGAAAACGAGAGAGAGAAGAGGCATGTGACTGACAGGCCATGCGGACCTCGTGTGATGACTATGCATGTTATCTCGTTTCCCCAACTGACCGTGCTTCTATTACTTTGTGACATTAAGGCACTCACCCCGTCCCAGGAGAGAGGCAGGTACTGGAAGTGAAAGTCCTCTGAGACCTTCTCCTTCTTCTCAGTGTGATACAAACAGATGGAGCCATAAAAGGGTTCCACGAGCCCCGCGGGTACATTGAATGAGAGTATTCGCACAGAGAAGCGTGTGCCTCTGGGGGGTGGGGCGAACAGACGGGCAGTACAGGGTGGGTGGGGTTTCTGAGGCGGCTCAAAATTCGTCAAGGGCTCCACGAGACCCGCCGGTACGTTGAATGAGAGTATTCGCACAGAGAAGCGCGTGCCCTCTCCTGCTGGGGGGAGAGGGGAACAGGGGCAGTACAGAGTGGGTGGAGGAGGGGACTCAGGGAGAATGGACGCAGATGGATCATGGGTTCCCAGAAGCACATGGGTCATGAACGGCCGGACGCACATGGCAGTGCAATATTCTAAGAGTTTTCAGATCACGAGTGCAAGGAGTCAAGAAGAAGGATGTCTATGGTGCTGTGGCATGTGAGAGGAGTTGAAAGGAAGGAGGAAAGTGGCTGGGACTGGTGAGGAAGGGAGGGCACGGCACATACACTGTGCTGCTGACAATGGGCTTGATGGGCATGCGCTGGCCAATGACAGCAGCTCTGTCCGTCTCCCAGCTGAACAGAGGCTCGTACGCCATGATGGGTGGGCCCCCATAGTGCTGCGAGGTGGCACACACGGAGAGGGATGGCAGACAGACAGGGAGAGAGATGACACACATGCACACACACACTCAGAATCAGCCCCCTCCACACACGCACGCATACCCTCAGGCCCTCCAACTTTGTCGTCCGGGTCCCTTTTCTCCAACTACGGCTCCACATCCGTGTGTGAAGCCGTCTCCCCACACGCATGCAACAACCTTATCTCTCCCACCCACACACACACACACCCTGGCATCCCCCCTCCACCCCCTCCCCACCTTGTCATCCGGGTCCTTGTTCTCCAGGTACGGCTCCACGTCCGCGTGTTAAGACGACTCATCACATGCACACACGCACGTACTCAAACACCCGACCCCCCCCCCTTTCCCCCACACGCCTCCCCACCTCGTCGTCCGGGTCCCTGTTCTCCAGGTACGGCTCCACGTCCGCATCATCGTCCTCCCCATCGCGCCCTCCACCCGGCCGCCCAGGCCCCGCGGCAGAGCGGTCGGAGAGCGGCGAGGAGAAGAGCTGGGGGCGGAAGGTGAGGTGTGGCTGGGAGAGGAAGGCGCCGTACTTGTTCTCCACGTGCACCAGGTCCGCGTTCACGCACAGCTCTACCTCCCTCAGGTGCGGCAGGTCCTCCGCCTCGCTCAGCACCTGGGACCAAGTCACGAGGGTGGTAAAGGCGGTAACCAGGGGCCCAGGGCGGGGGGAATGGAAAGAGAGGGAGGGGGGGAAATGGGAAATGGGAGGTGAACGAAGGGTAAATTTGGGGGAAGAGGGCGAGGTGCGTGTGGGAGAGGAAGGCGCCGTACTTGTTCTCCACCTCCCGCAGGTGCGGCAGGTCCTCCGCCTCGCTCAGCACCTGGGACGGGGAAGAGGCGGAAACGGGGGTGATCACGGGAAAAGAGAAGGGTGCGATGAGTAGAGGGGGGGGGGGACGAAAACTATTCCGAATGAGGGGGGGAGTGAGCGAACCTATGTTCCACTCCATTCTCATCTTCTCTAAGCAATGTTCGTGCTTGACAGTGGCCTTAAAAACGCGCTGCGTAGTCTGTAAGGCGTCGTCCGTATCCCTTCCAGAGCATGCCTAGCGTTAAGGTAGCGCAGACAAATTTTCTAGGCTACTGAGGTTGCTAAATTCTTTCCAGTGCATGCCTACCGGTGCCTCATTGAGGTAGCGCGGGCGGAAGAAGCTGTCTCGCGACGTCAGCGCGTGCGATGCTGACAGAGCCATGCCGCGCCACCACAGGCGACCTTCGAGTCGACTCACGCGTCACCGTGTGCCATCGACAGGCTCCCCGTCGGTCACACCTAGGTCCCTGACAGATACCACTGTGAGGCGCCTCAAAATACCTCCCAGTATACCACACCTGGCCCCCTGACAGCTCTCACTGTGTTCTGCCGCTTCGCATCTAGGCAGCACCGGGACCCATCAATTGGGACTACCAGCAGTATATCTCCGATCGAACTCAAGTAAGCGCATGGTTAACGTAAGAAGTGTTAATAACTTTGGTCATTAAAAGACAGCCTAATAAGGAACTCCTTGAGTGAATAGATTGCGCGATCGTGGACTGTGACAGCTGTGTTGAGTTGGCTCGGGTCCTTTAGATAATGAGGTAGCATTGTTGGGTGAGAAACATTCAGTGTTTCGCAATGCAGATACTTGAAGCTATGGCCGTGAGGGGCACGAAAAGAGAGGAAACGACGACGACGACATAATACCGTGTACCGAAGTACGAAATTGGGCTATGGAGTAAACTCGAAATGGGCTACACGGTGTTTTTCGCGATCAGTGAGCGCTACGATATCCTTCGAGAAAACAATCTGCGTGATCGTAGCTGAAGGCGAGAGAAGGACGGCGCGTGCTCTCAGGAACACGCATGATACGGACGTCTCTGAAGTGACAAGAGGTTTACGAAATGCAAGAGTTTCAGGGACTACAACTAATGCTTCCGAAATGCCTTGCGCGAATACGAGGACCTAAAGGCCATGCAACCGTGAAATTAGGTTGTCGTCGTCAACACTGTCACAAGTCGCGGCTGGAAACTGCAGTGTAATGATGTCAGAAGGCCTAGCTCAGAAACAAATGAAGCAGACCAGGCTCAACAAAATACTACCACTGGACGAGACAGCCAAAGCCTGCAGTCAAAAATCTGACTGGATGGCTCGCAGCAGCAGGCTTTCGAGACTGCCAAAGGAAAACAGGCGACCAGCGGACCGACCACAGGGATGGCCGCGCGGATAGCTACAGGCTTGCGGAGTCAAAGGGGGAGTCATCGGCAGAAACTGCACAAGCGCAGGCAGCGGAAACTGGGCTGGGTTGCGCGGATTACTACATGCATTTCTCTCCAATCTACACTCCACTATCAACGTAACATATTTTATCCAATCATCCAAATATCAAAGTTAGGGGGGCTCCAATGTTTTCGAGCTTATCTAGATGCTCTCATTTGTCAACACAGGTCAATATGGACGGAATATCTCATCTTCAAATGTCATAAATTTCCAGATTTTGTATTAGAGCTATCCCTACTTCGACATATTCTAAAATATCCATTTAGTCAAATGCAGCACAGTAATCTATATTAGGGACTTTGAATCATTTTATAGGTAATCGGATTACGATTTTCGTGCATAAAGTTCCTTATTATCCCCTTCCATCGTCTCGCGGATGGATCTCTACCATACATACAATACAACATCCCAACCCAACCCACCTCTCCCAACTTCACGCCTTCGTTTATCTACCTCACTCCCCTTGTCCCTGCCTCTCTCTTGTCGATCTGCATTTGTATATCTCTGTAAAACTATATATATGCTAGTTCTGTGTAGGCTATGGTGGGGTAGCCTGTAAAGGGTACAACCCAATGTTAGGGTTAGTACTTGTACCCACAATTATTTCAATGCTGTCATTCTAGCTTCTAATCTTGACATGCCCCTGTTGGCCGCGCGCCACTACTGCAACACGCGTTTTCTTTAGCGCGCTGCCCCTCCTGCAGCCCCGCGCGCCGCCTGTAGCCCCGCGCATCGCCTGCCCCTGCCGCGACTGCCTGCTACGCTCCGCGTGCCACCTGTCCCGCTGCCCCGCTGTCAGTAGAGCTACACTGTGAGATCCTCGATCGATCCTAGGGGGGGTTACAAGCGCGTTTGCCTGGGGGGTTATGGACGCACTGACTCGCTACTGAAACAAGCCCTTTTATCCCAATGGTCTAGTGGTTGGGATTCTGACCTGGTATCAGAGCGGTCTCGGATCCGAATCCCGGTGTATGCACATGTTGGCCGTTGCCACTGTGCTCAGTCTTGGGCCTCCCAGTGTGGGGGGGTGTCAATAGAGCTACGCAGCCCCGTACGCCGCCCGCCCTGCTGTAGCGGCCGCCCGCTACGCCCTGCGCACAGCCCGCCCTGCTGCCCTGCCGGCCGCCTACAGCCTAGCGCGCTGCCTGCTACAGCCGCGGCCGCTAGCTACGCCCAGCGCGCCGCCCGCCCTGCTGCCTCGCCGACCGCCTGCTGCCTGGCATGCCGCCTTCCCGCGGTGCCCTGCACTCTGCCCGCCCTGCCAACGCTGCAGCGACTGCTACACTGCTGCAGCTGCCAGCACCGCACTGCCCCGCCATGCCCGAGCCACTCTGCACAGCCCGAGCCGCGCTGCACCACCCGAGCCGCCCTGCACCGCCCGAGTCGTGACGCACCGCCCAAGCCTAGCCGCCCTGCCGAGCCGCGCCGCCCCACTGAGCCGCGTCGCGCTGCCTAGTTGCCTGGGTTACCAGATTCTCCTGCTGCTGCTGTTTGCCTGCAATCACTCTGCCCTGCAAGTCCCGAGCCAGTAGCTATGGCCACCCTCCGCGTTCTGACATTCGATACAGAGGGCCGCCCGATTCGGTTTGAGACCTGGCTCGATGACCTGCAGCTATTCCTAATTAGCGATAGCAAGGATAATGTCTCTCTCTTTGACCAGCACAGACGTCCTTGAGGACAAGCTGAAGGACTTTGAATGCTTTGTAGCTGTTGTACATCACCTCGTGTCCATGCTGATTGCACCTGAGGGAGACCCACATGCATCAGACTTCCCAACCCCACGCTCTTACGCAGAGGCGAGTGAGGGTCCCTACTCCTCTCAGTGGTAGTCAGCCACAGGCATTTACGTCGACGCTGTTCCCCCTGGGGTGAACATCGTCAGTGGCATGTGGATTTTCAAGGTGAAGCGGCCGCCGGGTTCTCCGCTTGTCTTCAAGGCGCGTTACGTTGCACGATGCTTGAGTCAGAGACAGGGAGTTGACTTCTTCTAGACCTTCTCCCCTACCCCGAAGCTGACCACTCTTTGGGTTCTGCTGCATGTTGGCGCTCATCGTTACTACGAGCTTCACTCTCTTGACTTCGGCACTGCTTTCTTGCAGGGTAGCCTGCACAAGAAGATCTGGCTGCGCCGCCCACCTGGCTTCACTGGGCCGTTTTCTGCACGCATCCAGTGGAGCCTCCGGCGGCCAGTCTACAATCTCCGCCAGGCCCCTCGCGGGTGGCATGACATATTGAGGACGACGCTTAGGGCTCTTGGGTTTGCTCCTTTGACTAGTGACCCGTCGTTGTTTCTACGCACTGACACTTCACTGCCGCCGTTCTACATCCTCGTGTACGTCGATGACTTGGTCTTTGCCACTGCTGACACTGAGGGACTCGCCCACGTGAAGTCAGAGCTGCACAAGAGACACACGTGCATAGACCTGGGAGAGCTACGCATCAATCTTGGCTTGCAGATCACCCGGAATGGAGCACGACGCACCATTACTCTGACTCAGTCACATAAGGTGCAGCAGGTCCTTCAGCGCTTCCGCTTCACGTACTCCTCGCCACAGTCCACTCCTCTGCCTACTGGTCACTCGCTCCCAGCTCTGCTTTCGGATGAGTCCGTAGAGCTGATTGGCCCGTATCCAGCGCTTGTGGGCTGCCTCATGTACCTGATGATCTGCACTCGTCCTGACCTTGCTTTCCCTCTTAGCGTCCGGCGTCATTCTAGCTTTAAATCTTGATAATCTCTAGGTTGTAGTGGGGCATACTCTAAGGGGTACAACAAATTAAGTCAACCCTAGTACCTGTGCTCATTCTTGCTACCTAGTCAATCATTCCTACATACTAGTTCTGACATCTCTGCCCCCTATTCCGCTACCGGTGTGCTGCTCCCTCTCGTAAAAACTAAGTGGAAACGAGAGCATTGAGAAAGGGTTACACTATTCGGAGGGGATAACAAATAGAGGCAAGGCAAGCAAGGCAAAGGTGGGAAAGGTACATCATCAACAACGGTCAAGAATGAACTACACTACAGTAACGCAATAGGTTGTTATATATCAAGTAATTTTCTTCAACACACACCCGTAAATGCCTTGAGCATAAACCCGTACAAAACCACACCCCCCAATAGAATAAGGGTATCTTTGAGAAAAGGCGCAGCGGAAAAAGCAGTGACAATAAAATATAGCGGTAGCTAATGCAGTGGCGACAAATGCAGCGACAGCAAGGCGGTGACGTGAATTGCACTCGCAGCAAGTTAGCAGTAGGCTGTAGATGTGACAGCTACAGTAGGCAGTGGCGGCAAGTGCAGCAGAGGTGCGGCAGGTGCAGTAGAGGCACGACAGGTGCAGCAGAGGTGCAGCAGGTGGAGCAATGGCATGCGCAGTAGAGGCGTGGCAGGTGCGATAGCAACATGAGAGGATGTGGAAGAGTAGTAGCTACGAGGAGGGGAGAGGCGCAGCGGAATGAGAGAGCTGTCAGGATTCCAGCCACTAACCACTGAGATAAAATGGCTTGTTTGTGTAGCGGATGAGTGCGCCCATAACCCCCCAGGCCAATGTGTCTATAACCGTTCCCTAGGACCAATCGGGGATCAGTGGACCTTTAACACCCCCCCGCACTAGGATGCGCGAAGTGCACACACTGGGAATCAAACCTTCGCTCTGATACCATGTTAGAATCAAATGTGCAAGAATGACTAGAAATAAGGCAGTACAGGTTTATATAGGCTAACCCTAATTGGCTTTGTTGCAGAGAGTCACCTACAATGGGAGTGGACTACGGAGGAGGGCACGGGGTTGTGCGGGTGATCGTGGCGCTCTAACAGAGTTTTTACTACTTGCCGTGTTCACAGAGAAATTTGGCCAGAGTTTCCACATTGAAAAGAACATGGAGAAATTTAGAACTAGAGTACACAAATGAGGCATGCAAGTGATATGACTAGAATGGCAT